GTGATAAAATTATTTGTATTTTTAAATACAAGTCTATAATTTAATTTTTAGTCTTTAAATACTAAAAAACTTAAAATAAAAAATTATTATTATTTTGAATATAGAGAGTAATAGCTAATTACAATAATATCCCTTAGTATTCATATATCAAATTACACAATTATATGTACCAAATGAAAAAAATTAACATCATATACACATAATTTACAAAGCTCATGCCTCCAAGCATCCAAAATTCATCATCGAGTCTTCAACATTTTAATTTTAGATCAAACAAAAATTTGCCTTCAACTACCATTCTTCATAATCATGGACTTTTGGTCGTAATTCAATCAATAAACTTCCTACATGTGGCAGTTAATTACAGTTGTTGACAGTTATTTTCACCTTGCCAACTCCACACTATGTCTTTGAGGGCAGGCCTCAAGTCTTCCTCGCAAAACTTGGCGTACTCAAGAGTGTCACCGGCCGATTTAGAGAACGCCACGACCGCTACCTCCGGCACCACCTCGAAAACCTCCGCAGTCACCGCCAGTTTTCCTTTTCTTCCCTCTGCTTTACCTTGCAGCTTCACCTTGAATTCCTTCGCACTCAGCACGTTAAAATTCAACTTCTTTGCCATAGATTCCAGCCTCTCCATGATTGAAGAAGCAGAGCATTTGGATGTAAATAAAGAACCCTGTTTCCTTTTATCTTCGAAGAGATTCGACAAATCGAATCCTGACGACATTGATGATATGATTTCAAAGGCATTAAAGAAAGGTGGGGATGATGACTTTGTTGATGTTACCAATTCAAGCTCCCCATTTTTTTCCCCGGACGGCTCTGCAATTGAGAAAACTACTGGATGTTTAAAACCCTTCTGAAACCAAGGATTTCTCATGATCTCCGCAATTGAAATCCTCTTCTCTGGATCAGGAACTAGTAATTTCGATATCAATCTCCTTGCGTCAGATGAAATCCAAGGTGGGAACTCGAATTCAGCCTTGAAAATCTTCCTGTACATCTTCATGACATTCTCATGCTGAAAAGGCAAATACCCAGAAAGCAGAACAAACAGAACAACCCCACAAGACCATATATCTGCCTTAGATCCGTCATACCCTCTCTTCCTCAGAACCTCTGGTGCCACATATGCCGGAGTTCCACACCGTGTGTGCAGCAATCCATCATTCCGGCGCTGCTCTGGGAGTGAGGAGAGCCCAAAGTCAGAGACTTTCAAGTCCTCATTCTCGTCCACGAGCAGATTTTCCGGCTTCAAGTCGCGATGATAGACGCCCCGACTGTGGCAAAAGTCAACTGCACTAACCAACTGCTGAAAATACTTTCTTGCTAAATCTTCCTTCAATTTTCCTTTGACAACCTTGGCGAATAGTTCACCTCCCCTGACGTATTCCATTACGAAGAAGACTCGTGCCTTAGTTGCCATAACTTCTTTCAGCTCAACTATATGAGGGTGACGTACCAAACGCATAATCGAAATCTCCCTCTGTATCTGCTCAATTAGACCTTCCTTCTTGACTTGCTCCTTGTTGATGACTTTGATCGCCACGCTTTCTTGGGTTGCTAGGTTTTTCCCGTAATAGACCTTGGCGAAGGTGCCCTGCCCCAACATCCTTCCCATCTCGTACTTCTTGAATATAATCTTTCTGGAATCACTCAAGCTGGAATTCTGAATTCCTGCTCGCTCATCCATGTTCAACTAAAATCAATTTAGCTGAGTTAGTACTTACTAATTTCTGACTATTTCTAGTTACTAGTAAGGAAAAGGGGAGGTTTTGGCTGGAAAAGTGAGAGAAGAAATGGCTAGATAATTTTGGTTTAGGGAGATGATTACACTCTGCAACTACAAGGATGCTGGTGATGAAATGAGGATAAATACTGGGAAAAGGCAGTGTTTGGTTGGGAGAGAAACAGGGGAGGGCTTGTCCTGTACCATCGTGTACCCATTGAAGCACATGGTCTGGGGGGTGTGCGGAGTCTGGAAGGAACGGCAGAAGCAGCACCTAAAAGTATCTGGGGAAGTAAAACTTGAAAATTTTGGAGAATGGGAAAGGAGACACTTGGGGAAAATGGGGTCCAATAAATTGTGACCCCTCTTTGGACCTGTGTTTGGCTTTTTGAGTTATGGTGAAGCTTCCTGCATCAAGTGCACTTAACAACTGTTTCTGTATTGGGCCAAATCAGTACCGAAATTTAAGATTCTAAAATAGCCATAGTTTGCAGATATGGTTGATAGTTCATGGTAGTGGTACCATAGATGGAAAACAATTTTTCAATTTCCAATATTTACTGTTTATATTTGTTAAGTGATTTCCCTTTCTTTTACTAAATCACTTAGCTAGTATGAAAATTATACAACTCCTTTATTCTAAAATAATCATTATTTTTTATTTTTTAATTAAAATTTTAAAAATAATATTTATATTTATCTATAACACACTTAAAAAAATACAAAAGAGAATTTTTGTAATTAGATGATTAATTAAAGTGAATGGATAATAATAGAATTAAAAGTAAGAAAAAATATTTATTTATCTTAAAAATTTTTAAAAACTATAATTAATTTAAAATAAATTTAAAGTATAATTATCTTGGAATAAAATGAGTAGATTAGAAAATAATTTTCTTTTTTTCAACATTACAAGTATAAAAATTCACTTTTCCTATGACTGGACTGCCCATGGGCCATGACTAAGTAACTTGTATTTTATATGGTACGCTGGGCTACAGTTGGGCTTAACCACATATATTTTTTCCATATTTGGATTTTGGAAGAAAAAGTCCAGGCCAACACTCAATAAACCAATCATCATCTTTTTTAGTCCACGAATAGGACCCAGGAAATTATCTCTCTAGGGTTTTTTTTTTTACAACCATGTCCAGACCCTTCTCTTAAAATGGGTATGTTTCATTTCTCCTTTTCTGTTTAAACATATATAAAATTTTTTGGTTTTTTTTTTAATGAATTTTAATTTTTTGAATATCTTTTTTACTAAACATGAAATTCATTATCATCTTATTGGGAATTTCTCTTTTTTATAATAAATGCAAAAACTTAACCCTTCATTACAAATATCCTTTTTTTAGTAAATAACAAAAACTTAACTTGAAACAACTAATCAGAAACGTAAAATGGGTAGGCCCAAATTTAACAAATATGAAATTCGAAACAAGAGTAAGTGAGAAATATATCAAAATATTTATTTTGTTTTAGCATATGTTCTCAACTATGAAAGCATGTGTCATGCACTGCGTCTTATTTATAAGGCTATATGAACCCTAACAAATCTCATAGTTAATGAAGTGGGATTTCTAGCACCCATAAAAAGAAAAAAAATATATAAAAATGACCCTTTATTCCATAATAATAGTTTTTTTATTTTAAATTTATTTTAAATTAATTGTTATTTTTTTTATATTTTAAGGGAGATAAATAATTTTTCCTACTTTAACTTTACTTTTAAAACCTTTTTTGGTCCCTCTACTTTAACCAAAAATCTCTTTTTAGTCCCTTAACTTAAAAAAACTCATTTTTTATCGATAAAGTTTAAAATCCAACCCCCCTTTTTAGTCCCTTTATCATCTTTTTGCATAAATGTCATGCTAAACAATGGACTTAAAAAAACTCATTTTTGATCGATAAAGTTTAAAATCCAACCCCCCTTTTTAGTCCCTTTATCATCTTTCTGCATAAATGTCATGCTAAACAATGGAAATTTCAAAGTATAGGGACTAAAAATGGACTTTTTTTAACTCTTTTTAGTCCCTCTACTTTAGAATTTTTGTCATCTAGCCTGTTATGTGTGCAAAAAATAATGGAGGGACTAAAAAAAGGGTTAGATTTCAAAAGGGGGCTTTTTTTAAAACCTTTTTTAAGTCTCTCTACTTTAAAATTTTCATTATTGAATATGCCATGTGTGCAAAAAATAACGGTTTTTTTAAGTAGAGGGACTAAAAATGAGTTTTTTTATAAAGTAAAGGGACTAAAATGAGGTTTTAATTTTAAT